AGCCATCCACTGCCTGCCCTTTACAGGGCTCTGTGAAGAGACAGTGAACAATGAAGTGGAGGACGTGTGTGGGTCGTCCCAGTGGTCAGTGGTGGAGGAGAGATTTCAGCAGACCAAGCACGGGGAATAAAGCCAGGCCAGAGTGTGCTGTCAGCCTGTCTGCCCCCTAGAGCTGATGGACTCAGCAAATAACAGTATAGGGTGCCCAGTTACATTTGAATTTAGATGTGTATAGAATTTTGGTTTTTCGGGGTTGTACAACATTATGAATTTAATAACACTGAACTGGACACTCAAAAATGGTTAAGATAGTATATTTTATTGTATGTGTATTTTACCATAATAAGCAATTGAAAAAATGAGTTGTATTTCAGGTAGATAGTGAATTATTGTTTAGTATAAATATGTTCCATGAAATGTCTGGATACTGGGTTGCAGGAGGGACTCCCCTTCCTCCTCCCATTCACAGGCCTGCCTAGAGATGTTTAAGTACAGACTGACTGGCTGGTTTTCCCAATGTGTCTTGTGGTCATACTTTTAAGCCACAGATCTGCTTGGAAAAGATATGATCTCCCCCAGGGGAGTAACTATTATAAGAATAAATACTCTATCGAAGCTTCCATTCTCCTCAAGATAAACATCACAGGAGTGACCTGAATTGTAAAGAGGAGTGGAAGGAAAAGAACAATACGGTCATGTTTTCTGAGCCACGCAGATGTCAGGACGGATCCAAGGGCTTCTGAAAGAGGACGTCTGTGCCGCCGAGTGAGACCTTCCATCCGACCAGGGGGTCACGCTGTCACCGGTCCTGCTTGGAGCTCTGGTGCTGCAGCGGGTCTCGGCTGCCCCTCCTGAGCTGGGGGGAGGAAGAAGTCCCTGTTGAAATATCAGATGAGTAGGGTTGATGGCCTCTTTTGAAAACAGGAATCATGAAGTGATTCCCAGAGAAGACTGTCATCTAATGGAGTCATTCATCCGCCCAGGACTTCTCTGTCACAGGGTCATGTTTGGGGAGAATTTTCACAGGCCACTGGGGATGGCTGTGGCTAGCCTGGCTTTCCGCTGATGCCCTCTGTCCCTAACCTCAGCGTCTGACATGCCTGTCATTCCAGAGAGTGCTTGGAAGCATTCTGCCTTTGTTGCAGATGGCCTGAGTGGAGTGGGTGTGCACTGGTTTGATGTTGTTTCATCCAAAGCAATGTGGTTATATTGCTGTATTTTCAGTTTCACCAAGCAGACAAAATCAGAATTGACACTTTTAAAAATCCAAGCTTTAGTTTCACCAACTGGAGCCAAGGTGTTTATTAGAAGGATTTATTGGCATTAGTGTATTTTTATTACAAGCATTTATCTCTGCCCTGAACAGTTGTCCCTGGGTCGCGTGTGCTGTGAAGACTCTGTCCCACATCACACGTTAATTTTCTGTCCTCAGAGCTCCGGGGACACATGCTGATTCTCACGCTGTGCCACCGCCTTCTCCGAGTGGATGGCTGATGTGGGTTTCAGGCTCCACTACAGTTACTCAGCGAGGGATGGGACCCCGTGTCCCCTGTTGGCTGTGGGGAGTTGAGGTGGCCCTGGCTGGCATCTTGTTTTGAGGGGTGACTGTCTGCTGTACTTTGGGGAGGGCGTGACAGGATTTAAATAGCATCTTTATCTAGGATGCCTGGAGCCCCAAATCCATGTGGGCCTCCAACTGTGTGAATTTCAGATGCTGCCAGCCCCCCAACCCCGCCAGCCCTGAGATGGAAATTAGAGCACCAGATGGGCTGTCCCAAGGAGAAGCATCACAAGCCCACCCTCCTGCCTCTTTGGGAAGTCACCCTGTCTGTTTACTGTGAGATGTGGTTGTCATGGTGATGAGTGGACACCTGCTTGGGAGGGAGTTAGAGGAAACGCTGATGTGGGGGAAAGGGTCACCCGTAGAGACAAGCTTGTGTTGCCCGTGGACACCCCATACTATGGCCCCTGCACTGGGGAGTCCTGTGGGTAGGGCATGGGGGTGCGGGCATCAGTCTGCGTCCCCAGCCAAGCCTTGAGCCCTGGCTTGAAGTTGCACAAAGGTACAGTGGCTGGCCCAGCCCTAACCCATGGCGGATGCAGCCCCTGTTGTGTCCCCCAACCCCTGACTTATCTGGCCGCCTGATGAGAGTCTGTCGCCCTGCGACTGTGGCGCTCCCTCTGCCTGACAAATTAAATCTCACCCAGCTCGCAGAACGGATGTTGTTAACCTGATTTCATTTGCTGATTGGCTGGTTGATTTCTTTGGGGTTTTCTTGGAGATGACCGTCACCTGTCCAGCAACTAGTAAGGCAGGGAAGGGCTTCAGGAAACCAAGTCCATGCAGAAGTGCACTGTGTTGGGGACCTTTCAGATGAGTGGGTAAAACACCAACGTGTGCTATGTGCACCTTGAAATAGCAGAGTGTCCTCAGCAGAGCTCTCTGGGGGATGTCCCAAATAAGGTTTACTTTAGGAGAATGTGAGCGGCGTCTGAGGCGAGATTCTCTTCTTGCCTCCTTTGGGAGCTTTTGCCTGGTGTTCCTTGGCCATAGGAGGAAGAGCGGTGCCGGGGATGGGTGAGGGGAAGCGGTACCTGGGCCAGTCTCAGCCCTGCAGAAGGCGGCACTGTCTGCTCAGCTTGCTCGGCACAGGGTGTACTGCAGTGGAGTCCTGGCGGATCACAGCCCTCTTGTTGGAGGGAAGGATGGGTTTTGCTCCTAGGATGCTAGGCTTCGAGAAGCAGGGCAGCATGCCTGCAGTCCCAGACAAGCCAGAGCCGGGCCTTCGGTCATGCCAGGACAGCAGGGTGTGGTCTGGCTAGGCCTGTGAGCTCATGGGGCTTAGGGATAGGGGCAGCAGGACCCGGGGAGGCAGGGACCAACCAGACTTCAGCGCTGCTGAGTCCCAGCGGCACCCCTGCACCCCCTCAGCTCTAGGAAGGGCAGCCCCATGTAGCTTTCTTGAGATGTAGCAGCAATGCTCTCCCTTCTCCCTCACCATCCTTAACGCCCAGCACCGGCGCCTGCTTCCCTGCATCCCCCACTCCCATTGCCTCGAAATCCAGTGGTGTCTGTGATCCTGGAGGGGAGGCTTAGCCAGCAATCATTCCGGCTGCCTGGGGCACGGCGTGTCTGTCCCCATCAGTGCTGGGAGGGTGGGCCCAGGTGGTTTAATTTTTCTCAAGCCCCCAGAGAGGCAGAGTTCCACCAAAGAGCAAGACACTGATGGACTAGGACGGGGGACAGGGCTGGCAGCCACGCCTCGTGGCGTCACCTGACTCCGAGAGAAGCCGGCTCAACACTTGGGGTCTCAGTTTTCTCACCTATCAAGCAGTGGGGAGAATATTCATCACGTACACAAAAGGTTTTAGTAAACCCTAAGGTGCTAGGTAAATTAGGTAAATGTAACTGTGGTTTTTTTTAATTTTATGTATGTATGTATGTATGTATGTATTTACTGGGGGGGACTGAATCTCACTGTGTTGCCCAGGCTGAAGTGCAGTGGCACCATCTTGGCTCATTGCAACCTCTGCCTCTCAGGCTCAAGTGATTCTTCTGCCTCAGCCTCCTGAGTAGCTGGGATTACAGGCATCCACCACCACGCCGAGCTAATTTTGTATTTTTAATAGAGACAGGGTTTCACCATGATGGCCAGGCTGGTCTCGAACTCCTGACCTCAAGTGATCTGCCTGCCTTGGCCTCCCAAAGTACTGGGATTACAGGCGTGAGCCACTTCGCCCAGCTGGTAAATGTAACTTTTATCATCAGTGTCTTCCTTGCCATCATCATATTGTTATTTCTCGATAATTTATTTCCAGAAAGTTCTGGAACTTACCATGCAGGCGCTGGAACCTCCTTTGGGGTTTGGCCAGGGATTTAAGGGCTATGGATCTGGCTTCTGTCTTCTGAATGATCTAAGGAACTAAATAGAGAAGATATACCTAACCTTAAATTTTATTAATTAAAGTAGAAGCAGTTGTAGTTTGGTGTCTTCTTTAAGAGAAGACTTATGACATGTACTTGGGGCATTTTATATTTTGTAGTAATAGATTGGCTACTTTGCATTTATTCTCATCCAAGTATTTAGGTTTTTTTAAAATATGACTTTTAACTTTTTGGGCACTGTTGGTGGGAATGTAAATGGCACTACTGCTGTGGAAAATAGTGCGGAAGTTCCTTAAAAACTGAAAAATAGAATTATCTTATGATCCAGTGATTTCACCTCCAGGTATGTACGTAAAAGAAGTGAAAGTGAAGACTCAAGAGATATTTGCACACCCACATTCATAGCAGCACCATTCACAATAGCCAAGAATTGGAAGCAATCCAAGTGTCCATCAATAGATGACTGGATAAACAAGAGGCGGCATGTACACACAGTAGAGTGTGATTCAGCCCTAAAAGGAAGGAAGTTCTGCCATGTGCTTCAATGTGGATGACCCTTGAGGACATTTCGCTGAGTGCAATAAGCCAGTTCCAAAAGGAACATACTGGCTATATAATAACTCCACTTACATGAGGGGCATAGAGCTGCCCGATTCCTGGAAACAGAGAGTAGAATGGTGGTTGGCAGGAGCTCGGGTTGGGGTTGGGGAGTATTGAGGAGTTTGTTTAATGGGTACAGAGTTTTAGTTTTGGGAAGAGGAAGACATTCTGAAGGTGGATGGTGACCATGGTTGTACACCAGTGTGAATGTACTTAGTGCCACTGAACTGTACACTTAAAAGTGGTCAAATGGTGAACTTTATGTTATGTGCATTTTACTGCAATCAAAAGATAAATTTTAAAATGATTTAAAATAACTTTTTTAGAAGTATGAAAATAGAATATTAAGTTCATAGCAGTTTAAGTATAATTAAATAGATGACTGCACACACACCTATACACACACCGACATACACATGCATTTTACAAAATTGTGTCACATTGCATATCTAGGTTTTGCATCTTGCAATTCTCTAACATATAAAATCACGATCTTTCACTTCCCCATTTCCAGGTTTGCAATGGTCTGGAGCAGCCAAGGAAGCAGCAGCGCTCTGATCTCAATGGACCTGTTGACAATAACAACATTCCAGAGGTAATTTTTTTTCAAGGATGAGAGTTCTGGGCCGGAACGCTCATCTAATGATGGAGTGACCCACTGAGTTGTGGTCTGCTCACTTAGTCCGTGATGTTCTCGTCCCCCCCAGTGCCTGGGAGAGAGGGAGTCCAGGTCAAGCCAAGTTGGTGTCACCATATGGGGAGGAGGTGATGGCACGCTGGCCTGGGAGGAGCGAGGAGAGGGCCTCCCTGCTGTTAGGACTGTGCCATGGAGTGCTCATGTGTTGCAGATGGTGTATGTGTGGGGGTGGGGGATCACTGGTACTTCTTAATTTTATAAAAAGCCATTCTATTCATTGTCTGATAACCATGTTCTAAACTAGGGTTTCTCAACAATGACACCATTGACATTGAGGCCTAGGTAATTCTTTGTTTTGGAGACTGTCCTGTGTATTGTAGGAGCTGAGCAGCATCCGTGGCCTCAACCCACTAGATCCTTGTACCTACCCCATCCCCACCCCTGATTTGTGGTAACCAAAAATATCTCCAGACATTGCCTAATGTCCCTTTGGGAACAAAAATCATCCCAGTTGAGAGCCACTGTTCTAAATCAACAACAGGTTTTAACAAACGATTTCCTAGAAACTAACAGTCCTCTGATGGAAGTTATTTCCCCCTTCTCGGTAACATAGTTTACATGAGATTGTTTAACTTTGTTGAAATAACGATGGCCAACGATGGAGTGGTATCAGTCTCCTTTATCTTGCTTTTAAAGACGTGCCCGGATGGCTCTCATGCCCACCGTTTGGAGCACCATTGTGTTGGATGGTCTCTAGACTCCCTTCTAGTCAAGATATGCTAGTCTGAGGGTCCCTAAGTTTTAGACGATGGGCTTTTGGGCCACTCCCCAACATCACGTTGCCTGCAGCAGACTGGTTTGCTGTATGGAGCATCAGCATACATAAGATATCATCTTGGGAACACCGTCACTCATGGCGGGGTTTGCTTTTCTCATTATGACACATATCACAGCCCTGCTTAGCCTTCACCTTGGGGGCTACCTACTTACAATTGATATGTGTTTTATTTTTCCATTTTTCCTAACAGACAAAGAAGGTGGCATCATTTCCAAGTTTTGTGGCTGGTAAGTGACTTTTAATTTTATCTCTCAAGGGGCAGTTGCATTTTACTTCAAAACAAATGATGCTTTTACTTTTGGCATTTGCCTGCAAAGCTTGTTTACAAAGGGTGCCTACCTACCAGCAAGGTGCTTGGCCATTGGCTGTTTGAACACTGTGTAGGCCCACTTAGTGGGGAGGGGAGGTCCAGCTGATCTGCCTGCTTTGATACAAGGAAAGGTAGACTGTCTCCTTTAATTACGCCCTTGGTAATTGCATCACAGACAACACTGATGACTGAATAGATTGAGATGTGTCTTTATAAGCAGTTGGTTATAGCTAACACTTCTGATGAGGGTGGCATTCAAATTCAGGCTTTTTTTTTTTTTTTTTTTTTTAAGATCCTCTGTTTTTCTTTACCGTTCCGCCCTTTTTGAGGGGGTTAATAGTGCATTTCAACATTCGATAAAGAATGAAGCTGGTCAATATGTTCTGTGTCACTCTTGGGGATGGGGAGCACACCTGCCTGGCTTTGATGGAGCTGAGCATCCGGAGACCTTGTGGGGCTCCTGTAGGAGATCCCCTGAGTTTGTTTCTAGTGCTCCAACCTCAGAGGAAAGGGCTTTTTCAGTAGAATTTCTCTCTTTGCCAGGAGGATGTTTCCTGCCCCTGCTAATGCGTTATAATAAACAATGTGAATTTCATTAATTCTTTCAATAAACTGGTAATTAATTCTTATAAATATTTATGGGAGCAAGGTAAATTAGTCTTCAGAAATAAATGACTTTCAGCCCTTCCCATACTGCTTTTCTTTTTTTAGCAAACAACTAAAGCCTGGGGAACTGAAGCCCCCAAATTTGCCTTTAGAGGACTAGTTTGAACCAGGCTAAACCAGTTCCAGTTGGTTGAAACTGGATTAACTGGCTCAAATCAATTTCGACTGTTATAGCTGGCTTAATGCTGCTCAGATTGGGTGAAAATCTGTTTTAAACCATCAGAATTAATATCACACAATTCAGATAGGCTTGGTTCCATTTTGACCAATTCAGATAGGCTCCGATGGGTTTTGCCCAGCAGTTTACATGTGGTTTTAGGTACATTTTATCTGGTTCAAACGGGCTCATACTGGTTTTCTTCAGGCCACAGCAGGTTATGATGATTCCTGGAAGAGACCACACTCCCCGCATTCCCGCTCGTAGGGTTTGATTGGGTTCCTGATGTGTAGGAGCTGGCCCCTGATGAGCAGGGAGAATGCAGTACATCACTGTGCCATTTTCCTTGGCGGGCGGAAGCCAGGGTGGGATTGCCAGTCACACTGCTCCGGTGAGGCAGGGTCTCATGGATCCAAGAAGCTCACTTTTCAGTGTATCATGGTGTCATCTGGACAGAACTCTCACACTAGGAGGTGATTTAGACATTAAATTCCCCGGCCCTTGAACCAATCTCATATCTGCAGGGAGTGGGATTGCGAGGGATGCCTGGGGTACCTCTGACTCCAGCTCCTGGCATCCCAGAAGACTTGGTTCCCTGCACCACTCCGACTGTTCCAAAGCAAATCCAAACAAGGCCGGATGCCTTAAACCAATTCAGATGGGCTAAAACTGCTGTGACCAACTGGAACCAATGTGGAAAACCTGAATTTATAGTTTCTTCTGTAGGAGAGAAGCCCTTTGATTGTTATGAAAATATAGAAAACGTAAGCAAAAGAACATCCCTTACTATTACAGCATTTATATTCAGTGAGGCCTTTATGGACCAAAAATCTTACTCAGCAACAGGAAGAGATCATCATAATGGTGATGCAGAACCCTAGAATGTAATGAATTTGGGAAAAGCTTCTCCAAATTAAACACCTTTATCAGTTTGAATGCATTTGGGTACAAGTATCAAAATCCCCACCTAACATTAGCTTGCACAAATAGGAGGAGTGTGTGTTACATAAAGAAGTCCAGGGCTGGGCGTGGTGGCTCATGCCTGTAATCCCAGCACTTTGGGAGGCAGAGGTGGGTGGATCAAAAGGTCAAGAGTTCAAGACCGGCCTGACCAATGTGGTGAAACCCCATCTCTACTAAAAATACAGAAATTAGCCAGGCATGGTGACGTGTGCCTGTAGTCCCAGCTACTTGGGAGGCTGAGGCAGGAGAATCACTTGAACCCGGGAGGTGGAGGTTGCGGTGAGCCAAGATCGTGCCACTGCACTCCAGCCTGGGCGACAGAGCAAGACTGTCTCAAAAAAAAACCACAAAGTCCAGAGGCAAGAGGCCGCCGGTTCAATGGCTCAGTGATGTAAGGATCGGCACCGCTGCGTCTCTTGACTTCCTCTTCAGGCTTGTCACCTCATCGTCACGTAGTATGTGAGCAGCCCCAGCCATTGCTGCTGCTTCTAGGCAGGAAGACAAAAGGAGAAGGGCTGAAGTCCACACCAGCTGGACGTCCTCCTCTTGACATTAGGGAAGCAAAGGTTTTCTGTGGGTTAAGAGGTGATGATTTCTCTGCATGAGAATCAGACCGTCTGTTCCCTTTCATAGTGTGCCTGGGTAACCTGAAAGGCAGCGTGTCAGCTATGTCTCCAGGCAACCTTGCTTATGGTGAGGTGACTCTTTTTGATAAACTGTATCTAGATGGAAAAATTCTAATGCTTGGGGGACAGGGCATCCAAGGCTTTGAGCTTCCCACAGTGGTAACTTTTGTGACTGGGCATGTCTCTTGAGGGTGACCCTGGAAGCTATGCCCCACCCATGGAGTGATTGTGAGAGATACTGGCTGCTGGGAGCATAAGACTCTTAGACCAGATGGATTCCATGTGCCCTTCTTGGTGGGAGTTTTGTACCTTTGCAGCTGACCCATCCAGGGGCCCATGAGACTAGCTGTGTGGGTGCAGCGCCGACTCCCACCGGAGAGTCCAGGAGGCAAACTGACATCTGCCTTATTCCCTGGGAGTAGACAGCCCTGTGTCTAGCTGAGCCCTAGGACGCTGCGTGCCTCTGAATAGCTCGTTGAACCTTACTTAACAGACCCAGAAGCCTCTTCAGCACACTGCTTATTTCTTTGTGGCCAGAGCTGTGTCACATGACCAGCCTCTCAGATGTTAGTGTGGGCCAGACAATCAAATCCTGGGCCTCTCATGAAGGCAGGGCAGGTCTGGAATCAGCCCTGGGTGCCTGCCACCACTCCCCATCCCGCTGTGGGCCCTTCCAGCCTCCTGGCGCGTCCGGTGCTGAGGCTGAGCGTGTGAGTTCCTGGGAAGCCTCTGTGTAAGGGAGGAGCAGCTCCTCCAACCCGTTTGTGTCTGAGAAATTGCCCTGGAGGGAAATGTTCCTGGAGGATTCATGAGTATTCGGTCTCAGCTTATGCCTTACTTCATATCAGATAATTATTGCTAATGAGAAATAAAATAATAGTAACAAAACGATACCATCTGAACCCTCGTTGGAGCTTGGCGTCCCACTCCCTGTGCTGTGTGGCATCTCTCTATTTCATGTCGCCTGGTCAACCACCACATGAGCAGTAAGTACTTTCCCCCATCCTATAGGTTAGAAAACTGATGCACAGTGAGGCTACAGTCACTTGTGTGCGGTCCCATGGCTGTGTGGGGGACAGAGCCTGGACTTGGACCCATGTCTTGGTGCTTGACACATAAACTCTTAGCCGAGGTGATTCCTCCTTACCCACCATGCCTTCATATACCAGGGATTGGTAAGACCTATCAGGTGCTTGCTTTGAGCCAGGCCCAGATCTAAGTGTTTTAAGCATATCAACTCAACAATCCCTGTATCCACAGCTCAGGGAGAGTGAATCCTGGGCCGAAGGTCACCAGGTAGCAAGTGGCAGAGCCAGGATTCAAACCAGTCTGGAATCTGAGCTCATCACCTTCACACTGCGCTTCCTGGCGACCCTCAGCACAGAGTGGGTGAGGAAGAGCCTTCACTTAGGGAAGAGCTACCATGCAAGTGCCAGAGAGTTCAGTGGAGGGGAATGTTCCAGATGCCGGAGCTGCTGGCCCCTGTCAGTCTCAGGATCACAGGCTTCTCTCAGCAGAGGCATCGTGGGGAAGGGCCTGCCACGATCACTGTCTGTGGAAAGTTCTCGGGGTCTAGCGACTCTCTCAGACTGGGCAGGTTAGCACTGCAGAGAAAACCTTGTGAAAGTACGGATTGCACAGGGGATGCACTGCCTCTCCCGTGGGGAGGAATCTGAAAGCCACCCTCAGGATGTCCCCTCCTGCAGGATGTAGTGGCTGGCAGCAGCTCTAGCCCAAGCTGCTCAGAGGGTCACTGCCTCTGGATGAGTATATGTGAACAACCAGCTTTTCTGTAAAGGTAAACATTTGTTCATTAAAACCAAAAGGCTGGTGCTAGTCCCAAGCAATGGGGCCTAACAGTGGCAGCTTCAGTACAAAATAACAAAGACTGGTAAATCTTACTTTGCTTTTTGTACTTTGTTCTCCTAATCTAACAACCAAAGCTCAAAGAGGATGTTTTGAAACCCACCACCCCACCAGCATCTTGAGACTCATGCCAAAATGCTGCCAGGCCTCAGAGTCCTGGGGTCCTTTACAGCCTGTCTGTAGCTCATCAACTTCTCCAGCTCCATGCGGCTCATGTGGAAGGCATAGAAATTACATTCCCGAGACCTGGAGCTGAGCTCACCTATCACCCCTTCCTTCTCTCAGGGGTCCTCACAGTGGTAAAGCTGCTTTGCTGGTTTCATACAGTGGGCAGATGGGATCTGCGACTTAGTTTGCTCTTAAAAGGCAATTGGGGCCAGGCGCAGTGGCTCACGCCTGTAATCCCAGCACTTTGGGAGGCCGAGGCGGGCGGATCACGAAGTCAAGAGATTGAGATCGTCCCGGCTAACACGGTGAAACCCCGTCTCTACTAAAAATACAAAAAATTAGCTGGGCGTGGTGGCAGGCGCCTGTAGTCCCAGCTACTTGGGAGGCTGAGGCAGGAGAATGGCGTGAACCCGGGAGGAGGAGCTTGCAGTGAGCCAAGATTGCACCCCTGCACTCCGGGCGACAGAGCAA